TCATTTCAATGTTACCTGTAGCTGTCCAATAAGTTGAATCTTATCAGACACCTACAGGTAACTTATTGGACGGAGTGCAGGACAATAAGAAATTTACCAGTGGACCATATTTAACAGAAGGTGACGTCAGAAAAATGTTTTAACAATAAATATAAATACTATGACAACAGATTCTGCATTAATCTCTTTAAAAAAAATTGTGAACTGTTTATAAGCATCAGATGATGTTTACGGAGATGATACCGAAATGACTTGATAAACATGAATTGATTAACAAAGATATTAAACTATTCAATTATTGATCATCACTCTTTTTCTTATTTTTTGGTCATGACTGCATGCTTTCTGACGCATTATAAATGAACCAAGCTTATCATTGATCTCAATAAACCCGAACCCAACATGTGCCCTCAGTAACATTGTTTTAACATCTTTACTAGAAAATGAATAAGAATTAAGTATAACTTTATGCTTTATTAATTTTTTTTTCATTCAAATAAATGCATTTTATATGTAAATTAATTTTTGTGATTCATTTGAGTCGTTTCAGATTATGAATGGTTCGTGATTTTACTTTTCTTCTGTCATCTCCGTAGTGTGATGTTTTATTACCTAAGTGAAACCGTATGATAACTCTAAACTCTGCTTTAAATCCGTGCCTCAATAATCTTTCCTCTTAAATGATGCACGGCCGTAGGAACCGGGAGGGGGGGGGCAATAATCCCAATAATTTTTCCGATATATAGAATACTATAGAAAACATAGTTACTATATTCTTGTGCCCCCTCAATAATAACGCCGCGTCTGATGACTTTTTTGTTTGCTTGTCAAGGAATTTTGGTACTTGATAATGCCTCCCCCAATGCTCATTACATGAAATATATCATCATGCTGGTTTTGTAAAAAAAAAAAATTACTTTACGATAAATTATTCTGTAAATTATTTGAAAACAGTTAGATAGAACGTCTTATTTTTCTTGAATGAATATATTCGCGCCCATGAAAAGTATGCAGATTAATTAAATAATATTACATTCAAAAGAATGAGGGGAAAGGATTCCTTAAATTTTGGATGAAATGATTTGACAAACTTTGCAACTGACGACAAAATATGCGTGAACCTCTCTTTTTTATGCTATTTAGCCAAACAGTACACATTTTGATAAAGATGTATTGAAATTTCTGTTTTGGAATGATAAAACTATACAAACAATCATAAAATCAACCAAACAACACTTCCTTCCAATTGCATTGGAGGAAAAATAAAATTGAGATTTATGAAATCACTTAACCACTAAAGGTATAAACACGAATGAAAAAAAAAGTAGAATGACCAAAAAAGACGAAATATTGCCCGTGCCGACGGAATTTCTTGAAAAAGTTGAGCAGTACAGTTAGGTGCATAATGGAAATATCGGCGATTTTTTGTGATCAAAAATACATTCTTAGTCAGGATGTCGATTCTTCTAGGATTTCACTAATATTGGACAAATGTAAAATAGTTATTAAAGCTGAACACGACTCGTAAATAGGTATACGCCATATTATTTTCCTATATTTTATATCAGCACTGGGGTATATAAACCCTTCGCATTCGTTACACCTGATTGCTTTTACCTTGTCGCTACTGCAAGTAGTACATGTACATGTATGTCTTGCATTGTCCTTATTGTTTACGTTTAATTTCATTGAACGTGCATTTGTGTTTATTTCACTTTGTAACATCGACCTGTGCAATTGATATAGAATATATTTGGTAACCATTTTTTTGGCAGAAGCAATCAAAAGTCATTTTTGTCGTGCCCAAATATGTCACAATGGCAATGAAGGAAACATCCTTTCAAGTGTAGTCCGTCAAGCAAAATACACTTAACTCTGAACAAAGCTAAGTCTTATATACTGGCTTGAGATGGACAGTCTTGAGAAAACTAAAATGGCGGACAAAGATAACTTTCTTCCTTTTATGAATCATGTTCAGCTTTAACATCATATTCATAAGGATTAGATTTTCTATTTAGACTTTTCAAGTGATTTTGCAAATTTACTCGCAGTATAAAGGTCACCTATAAAATTCAATACCGCAAGGGCATAACAAAGTTAAAATACTAAGTGTAGTTTATAAGTATTTTCAACACCCATTGTAGTTTGTGATCCTTGTAGATTCTTCTATTTTATTGTTAAAATCATATTTGTAAGACCGCATGCTGAATTTTTTGGTGGTCAACTTCATTAAATTTAGAAATAATTAATTCATATTCAGGATTTCACCGGGATCACAGCACTATTCAATTAGCTCAATACTTCTGGAGTTTTTGTGTAGAAGCTTACTATGACCCATTGAAGGTATGTCCTTGCACTAGATCGATTGATTTTAACCCTTACATTACCCTTCCATATACCTGCTTACAAATATACGGCAGCATCAGTTAAGTAGATAATGTTCGGAAAATATATGAATAAAATCATTAAAAAAAGACATCCCACCAAAATTAATGGCCTCTTAAATATCGGCATATAATAATCTATTATAATCATATAATGCATTTATTGTTTTGAAAATATTACTTGATCCACCTCTCATTGCATACAAATTGTGTGAAGGTTTACAGAGAGACGTCACATCGATAAGTGTATCTGTCCGGGCTTTGTTCCTCTAGATGAGCTCACTGTGGTATATGGAGTCGGCATATGAATAGAATTAATTATTATACTTCTGTTATAATGTTTCCTATATAAAGTTAAGAACTATTTTTCTATAGTCTGAAAATTTCTGAGGGTTGAATTACCTGATACTACATTTTCATAGACAAAACATGAAAAAATTAATTATAAAAGTTTTGAACAAATATTTGGAATAAGATAACAGTGCTAGAATGAGCTGAAATCCTGATGACGCCACAATGCTACTGAAGTCAGGATGACATAAGATTGTTTACAGGAAATCAAAATTGGCGGCAAAAATTGCATGAAAATTTTCCGAGGGGTGGGTAGCAAAAACTATACCCCGGGGTATAGCTTTGTTATGCGTGGAAATTTTCAGACTATAAAAGATAGTTATTTTACCTTCTTAACTTTATATAGGAAACATTTAACAGAAGTATAATAAAATTTATTATTATACTTCTGTTATAATGTTTCCTATATAAACCTCAGAAATTATAATTTACATCAGTATAATAAAACGCTTATCCACTGGCTTTGAATGGGATAGCTCTTTCATCAAACCCTTGACAGGAACTATTCCCCTCGGGCAAGCCCTCGGGGAATAGTCCCTGTCGCGGGTTTGATAAAAGAGCTATCCCACTCACAGCCAGTGGATAAGTGTATACTATTGTTAATTGATAATACTTCGTCGATATAATTATCTAAACATCGAGTTGAAGGCCAGAGCAAGTGTTTTCTTCTTCTCATGTATAAGTTTTTGAATAAATTCTGCATCATATGAATATAAAAAATAGGTCTGCTCTTTGGGGCCTTGTCTCCCTCGATACCCTGTGGTTCTGTTTGGGACCTTATAGTATTCAACTTATATCTACTACCTCGAGGAGGATCTGAGCCACATGGATCTTTCCATGAAGAGACCCAGCAAAGAACACATGCTATCTGCGCCCCTTTTGCAGTCTGTCCTGCTACTCAGAGTTAGCGACAGTGACCGTCACAGACTCAGACAATAAACACTGTACGCATCACATAGACATTTTGGTAAACACCTAAAAACATGAATTATCATTTTTCTAGCCATTATATAGAAATAAATGCATTTTTTTTAACATTTTCAAACAATCAAAGCTTTCTTCTTCCCGTAGGTTTAATTAATTCAAAAATAATCATGACCACCAATCCCTCTTAAAGATATATCCCAGACCAGAATATTTCTATTTCATGCTAGTATGTCTCAAACATGATTCAACATTGCCATGAAGGCAATACCTAACCTAATGAGAATAACTCTGATTCCTCTGTAAAATTCAATATCACACCATGCCTTAATAATCACATTAAATATGCAGTGCTTGTTTTCCTTTCAAACATAAAAAAAAATCAAGCGGAATTCTAATCAGTAAATAATCTTATCTGATGTTAGATTTTATATGTAATACATCCACATAAAACTCTTAAAGAAAAACAAAACATAAAACTATATGTGAAGATTTTTTCAGCTTATCTAAAATAATCTCACATTTTCTTAATAAGAGCGAAGGTCATATAAACATGGGAATAAAATGTATAAAACTTTAATTTTGTGTTATTCATTTTCGATTTTTATAATCAAAATTATTTTTTTCATTTAAGAAGTAAGATATCATTTTTATAGTTTCGTTGGGATATGACATGAAGTTGGTCAATGTGATCAAATCCTATAACGCCCGAAGAGCGTTATTGTAGATTTGATCACGTAAATAAATGATTTCTTATATTTATATTTTTATTTTTAATCGTGTTACAAAGAAAAAAATCAAAGGAACATAGCATACATATACGACGTTATGTGACGTCACAGTCTATACCCTCCAAATGTTTCGTGCGGTTTGCTTTCCATACGCAAGAAAGTCTGATCACCTGACCAACTTCGTGTCATTGAAAATTGAATGTCAATTTAATTTGTATTGTCTTACAAGGAAAGACATCGGCAAAATATTCTTTTTTTTTTTTTTTTAAATTCTCCGTTTTCTGCCCCCGCTATTAATTATTCAGAATTGTGTTCATTTATATATATACAATCTAACGGATTCCATGCATATCTTTTAAGATTAAAAGCAATTTTAACATTCGTACAAAATATTTTATTCAAAACCCCTTTACCTTGGAGAGAACAAGCTCAGTTTTTTTTGGTTACTTTTGCCTAACTTTTGGTATTTTGTTCATATAGTGCGTTCAAAAAATAAATAATTATATATATATATATATATATATATATATATATATATATATATATATATATATATATATATATATATATATATATATATATATATATAATTATTATTAATAATTGGTCATATACAGCAGCGTATCCAGGAATTTCATA